GTATACAGTGCTTGTGTTCAGGCACCCTTATTTTCCTTAATTATGGCCCTGAAGTGCAAGAGTAGTGACGCTGGCAATTGAATATGTCAAAGAGAAGCCATAAAGCGCTTCCTTTAGATGAAAAGGTAAAAGTTCTTGACTTGACTTAGGAAAGAAAAAATATTGTATGCCGAGGTTGCTAAGATCTACAGTAAGAATAATCTATCTGCGAAATGGCCTAATTTATAAATTAAACTTTATCATAGGTTTGTTTGTATAGGAAAAAACATAGTATATATAGGTTTTAGTATTATCAGTGGTTCCAGGCATCCACTGGAGGTCTTGGAACCTATCCCTTATAGATAAGGGAGCCTACTGTATACACAAAAATCAAATCGTGTTATACATCTAAAACTAATATAAAGTTATATGTCAATTATACCTCAGTAGAGCAGAACACAACAATACTCTTCAGTGGCTCCCAGATTCTGACTGCTTACCACAGCTTGCGTGGCCTTGATTCTTAATGGTAGTACTGTTGACCTTCTGTCTCTCTGTCTAGCCTCACTGACCTCGTTTCTGTTCCTGGAACATACTAAACTTTTTCCCACCTTAAGACCTTTGCACATGCAATTCCCTTTGGTACGCTTTGCCGCCAGATCTTCAAATGCCTGGTGCCTTTTTTCTCTGCTCAGATGTCACCTTCTCAGAAGCCTCATCTGAACCACATTATGCCAGGTAGTCTCCTACCTCATTTTATTTCCTGCAAAGCCCTTAATGCTATCTAAGATTACTTTGTTTGTCTATTTATTATTCGTTTCTTAGGTCTTATTCACAGATGTATTTCCCTTCCTCTGAAGAGTGCCAGAAACACAGCAGACACTAAATAAGTATTTGCTGATCAGTAATCACTGAATCAGTATATTATTTAATTTCACGGAAACCTGAGGCTCAGAGAGGGCTGGTAAATGACTTGACTTCTCAAGTCTTCAAGGCATTCTTCTCTACTATAATCCCTGAAGAAGGATATTCTGCAAGTGTGTGAAAGTAATGATTTTCTTAATGGCACTGTCTACCAGTAAAGGTCAGGGTAAAAAAGGAAGAAGGAAAGAAGAAAGGAAGGAAACTTACCTTTAAACAAGTACTAGAACTAGGCACAAAACAGTGCTTTCACCTATGCTACCTACTTTTAATCTCAAAGCAGTCCTGCAAGGCTTGACTTTGTTACCCACAATTTTATAGATGGAAATACTGAAGCTCAAAAAAGTTAAATGCTTTGCTTCAGGTAGTATAAATACTAAGTAGTAGAACTAGATTTTTGAAACCCAGGTCTACCTGACACCAAACTTCTGATTTTTTTTTTTTTTTGTGCTAAGATGATTGCTTTGCTAGAAGGATATGTAACAAAAATAGAAAGGAGGAAAATGTGAATTCAGTGCATATCCACATATATTATAACAAATATCTGAAGCGTAAGAACATACACACAATATGGAAAACAGACCTACAATATTCAATGCCTGAGCACATAACTGGATGAATAGAATACAGAGTGAACATTTGGTTCTCTGGCAGAGCTCATGTACGGTATGACATAGAGCAGCTGTCCCCAGGGAAAGTTCTTTGTTTCTAGACCAGTATGACACAAGCAGCATTTGAGTAATTCAGGATTTCTTTCTGCTTTCACTATAAATAGAGTTCATGGAATTCTGTATGTCAAAGTTAATGCAATGAAAAGGAGTCACAGAATATGGAAATAAACCTTAACTGCATAAACTGGAAACATGTTTGGCATCGAGAGACCGTAAAAACGCTGTCATTACTTGGATGGATTCTGAGATCTTATTTAGCATATGAAATTGCAGAGTAGATCCTATTATGTAAGGAGACAGGAGGATAGCATAATGTGGCTACAAAATGAAGAACTTTGTGCCTTTCAGGGAAGAGTTAACAGGACTGATATACATAGACAGAGACATGTGATAAGAATGTGGCAAATGAATGAATGGGTGGCATATATATGTGACTGTTGCCGAAGCTGGGTTGCTAGATAATCCTCAGATGTCAGATTTCCGTAAGGCCAACATGTGACTCAAAGCTTGCCACTCAACAGAATACTGGGCTGTGCTGGTATTAAGAGGCTGGCTGGAAGCTAGGCTCCCACTGTGCACTAGCCTAACTCCCTGTCGCTTTCTCTGTGTGGGTGGGTGTGCATGTGTGTGTATGAGGGTATACATTTTTATGCAGTGAGTGTTTAAAGAGCTAAGCACTGAAGCTGGATTTCCACAAACGATCATCACGAGCACTCCAGACACACCAAACTTCCTCTTTTGGTATTTTTTTTCTCCTTTCATCTTTTTCTTTTGCAAATCCCAAAGGGGAGAACCCCCAACATCCAGCCTGCAGGATTGAGATGATTTTCTCTCCCTGTCCATGTGGGTGCCCTCTCAAGGTTAGAACTTGAAGCTATGTGGGACCGGCATATTCTTCAGCACGAGAGGAGAAGAGCTGCGTGAAGGAGTAGCAGACACCAAAGGAAGAGTGACTTTGCCCTGTTAACATGAACAGCAGCTTGCAGGTTAACCTGCCCAGAAGCTGGGCTGCTTCAAGTGGCTCACTCCAGGAGAAGTCTGAGCATTCTTTTTTTCTTTTTTATTACTATAGGATGGAGGATGAAGCTGTCTTGGACAGAGGGGCTTCCTTCCTTAAGCATGTGTGTGATGAAGAAGAAGTAGAAGGTGAGCTTTATGGGTCTGGGGAAGTGTATATTTTTGTACATATGTCTTTGTGGATAATAGCACTCATACATTTCATTATCTCGTATTTTTGAAATTAAAAACCAAGAGTTTCTATGGAGTTTCATTAATCTCCACATTTTGTTTCAACACAGAAAGTAATTTTAAGAACTTCATTGGACCATCAGAATCTGAGTCAAAAAAAGAGAGAGAGGGGTGTCTTACTTGGAAGCAGGTACCTATGTTAGCTGTACCTCTTGTGAAATACAAATATTTTGCCAGGTAATATGAACCACCTTCCAATGACTAATTCGAGGAAGCTGCTAGATTTATATAGATGTATTTGGTTAAATCTTCTATTTTTTCCTTATAGTTTGCAGGGTTGAGAAACAGGTGTTCCAGAAGGAGAATGATGCCATTATTGCCAGAAAAATGGGTCTAAGCTGAGGATGTAAAGAATGGTAATCACGGATGAGTCTCAGTTAGGAAACGATGGATAAACATTTTTTATTTAAAAATCCTTCAGAACCTTTTTTTGCTAATGTTCTCCAGTGCCTATTAAAAACCAAATAAGAGTTAAATTTTATCTTGTGATGTGATGCTTTCAGTGTGTCTTCTCTTCTCTTTGACTTATCAATAATATGAGAATCGTACTGTTTATTTGATAGTGAGAAAGCAGGGCTTAATTAATATTTATTAAAGTAATTATGTGAAGGCATCACACCTATACAAGGTATTACTCATATTTATAATGACATTTAAAAAATAATCGATACTTATAAAGTTAAATGAAACTTGCAGGTGAACCATGTCATAAATTGTGCCATTTAAAACCACCTGAGAGATAATTCATATGTGTTCTGGAAACTATGGTCTGATTGGTGCCATTTGGTAACCATTTAATGCCTACCAAAGACTTGGACCAAAAGGTGGTGCGGTTAGGAAGAAGAAGGTGGGTACTGTGTGTTCTAGAGTGATTCTTCAACCAGACTGATCCCAGGCAAGTGATGCTCCGGTGCCACCTGGAATAGTTTGAACAGTGTGACCGTTGTGTTTTCATGTTTCCTTAGTAAGTTTCTTCTGACTGTGTAGTGTTGGAACATTGGTTCCCTCCCTTCCACTTCCCTACTTCCCGCATTTATGCTCTTGAGACTACTAAGAATTTGATACCTAAGTTTCTGAGGAAAAAGGAAACTACAGTATTTTCTTTCATATTGTTTTATGGGTTCCTTGCACTTTTACAACACGACTGTGGGAAAATGTCAAGTTAGTGAAAGCGAAATAGTAAAACTTTTGTTTTAAGATTCTTGTAACCCCTGATGTTAAGTCTCCATTATGATGACTTTGTCACTGTCCCAGTGTCAAAAAGGAAATAAGAATCTTAAAGTTATAGCATATGGATGTAGGAAATATTGTAGGATTGAGTGAGTATTCTATAGTTTTGACAAAGTAGAAAAATCAGTGAGGAAGCTTGGGACTGAGATGTACTCTCTGTGTGTGTATGTTCCTTGAGAAGAATACTTTAGCTAAGTTCACAGGAGATGTAAATCACTTCTTAAGTTTATAAGGCCTGTAGGATTGCAAATCAATATTGAATATTGATATTGACTGTGATGTTTATTTCCTGAAGTATTTCCCTTGATTTTCAAACACAAAACTAAGATAACAGTGTAATGAATAGGACACATCTGTAGCTAGGTTTCTTTAAGGAGAAACAAAGAAGACAACAAAAGGTGGTAGGAACATCTATAGAATTGTGGCTTTGTGGTGATTAAACTTGCCATATGGATTTTGTATATTTTCCTGTTCTGATAAGACTTATATTTTAATGATTATCTTTCATATTGGTTGGAGCTTAAGTCGATTACATTTCTTTCAAGGCATTTTTAACTAGCTGCCTGTTGTTAAATCCTGAGGCTCTAAAGGATGGTTGTTTATGGTTTCATTATTTGGTGAGAACATCCAACAGTACAGGCTCCTCTACAGTACAACTGTTGAAACTACAATTAGGAACTATTAGTTTCTAATTCAGTGCCCACCCAATTGGCTCTTCCATTTTCTCACCTGGTTTCATTTGGCAGAGGTGGAAGCCCTTAAATTTTATAGTAACTCTAGGTGAAAGTGTAAAGAAGTTAAAATAAACATGGGTTTGGTGGCTTATCAATGACCCTAGTGGTTGACAATGAAGAAACAGATAACTCGACTGTCGAGACTGCTAATAAGGATTTGTATTTTGCATGGGCATATAGTCCTCAAGGACACGAGTCTATCTCATATTTTTATTGCATTGGGAAAGGTGTATTTGAAGGAAAGCAAACTGTTATCTCTGTCCTGGAGTAGCTGAGTTCTGGTACATTTATGGCACAAGTAAGTGCTCTTACTTACTTTTTAAGGATCAGAAATTCAAAGGGCAAGGAGCTGGAACACCTTACTTTTCTATTATCAAACATATTTCTTTTTATCCAAGTAGTTCTTTCTCTTGCTTTTAGGATAAACATTGTCGAAGCATATTGCAGCACACCTGGCAAAAGTAAACTTAAAAAAAACAAAACAAAACTTTGCTTTTTAAAGTAATTTGCACAAATAAAATGCTCTCCCATTAAGTGATTATGAAGGTGACTAAGGTCCAGAAGCTCTAGTTACTTTGAAATGTTCATGCTTTTAAAATTCTTCTTAGGGTCCCCAGTTCTGGGGGGATTGGATTCAGCTCAGCCTGAAGGAAAAAGACCCAGATACTGTCTCATAGCTCCTTCTAATGCTGTAGTTCTAAGAAGGGGAGAGATTGAGAGTTCCAACCACGCCCTCAGTTCACCTGGTTCAACTTTACTCTCAGTGGGTGGCATGACACTTAATCCATGTTCTGAAAACTCAATAGAGAAACCATCAACTGCAAAACTCATCTAAGAAAAGAGTGAGTCAGAGGAGGAGTCATCTTCTGTTTCAATAATGAATTTATCTATGTGGGATATATTTAAAGACCTAAACCTCATTTTTATATAATTTGCCTTGTACATTTGTGTTAGTGGTGTAAAGAGATATTCTTTACAAAGGAAACCAAGTGTCAATTTTTAACCTTTAAAATAAAGAGCAGTTTTAATATCTGTTCTTTCATTGGTTACCTAGTACTATGTATGGTTTTGTAAAGTTAACATTTTAGGCACAAAGTGGTTACTGTGGATAAACTCATTTAAAAATTTTAACCTTTCAGATATATTTGTTTCTGTACCAAAAGGCTCCATCTTTCAGCCCAGGCACTTTCACAGAATTGGTTTGTAGATGATGAATTGATGTTACCAGAATGACCCAGAAATGTGGACTGTAAGAACACTGGATTTTCATTTCAAACACATGGTGACAGAGGAAATTGCCAAATTTTGTGGCGTGTACCATGGTTGAGAGAGGTAGAACGAGCCCTAGGTAGCTTTTTCCAAACAGAAGGAAATCTTATGGATGTTTTATCCTTAAAAATGTTAGCCAGGATTTTGGATCCGTATGATATAAACAGATTACTTAATAGTCTCATATTTCGCAATAGGGGAAAAGAGCAAACTCCGCCTTATCCTCTGAGATAAGGCCTTGGCTCTGTGGGGCTAGGTAACTCCCCAGCAAGGCAAGCCCTGGCAACTCCGGTGTTATGTGCGGGGCCTTTTCTTAACATCAAGTCTAACCAGCAACTCAGGAAGCATAAAGTACGGCAAGACAATATTGGCTGAAATGTGTCTCCGTTTCTGAAGTCTGATCAGTGCTCTCAAAGCTATGATATATTGTGGTGGCTTTCCTCTTCCATTCAAAACCAAGGCCAAAAGGAAGTGAGCTCCCATCTGTCCAAATGGAAGAATGATTCTTGAAATTCCCATGTCTACTGGTTGACATTAAGAGAGTATTGTTAAAAATGCATGTAATTTACAGGAGGATTATTTTTTGGGAAATAAAAGTAAAAGTAGGGCACTCTCTGGAGCACAGTAAATATTTACCAAATATTTGTTAAAAGAAAGAGTGAATAAAAGAATATACAATATAAACTAAATGTTACTTTATATAATCCTCTAAAATTTTTGTTTAATTTTTTAGTTTGAAATTTGGTTCTCAGTATTCTTAGTCAAATGAGATGGTATATTCTCCAGTGATCCTATCCTTGCTGTTACTCCTGTTTGATTTTGCAAAGAT